AAAATGGGGGTGCATTATACGAATTTTTAAATACACTTCGCATCAAAATTAACGCACCACTAAAATTTGGCACAATTTCAAATTTAATTTTCTCGGAAACTGCTGAATCGATTTGGACATATATTTTTTTTAATTGTAGCTTAAATCTTCAGGAATGACTCTGTAAAACAACGTTTCATTTGAATCGAAGTTTTAGGCATATACAGGGTGTTTTAAAAGAAACCAGTTTGATGCCTAATTTTTGTCACATCCTGTGGGACTTTCCATCTGCACCAATAGATGTCTATCTGAATCAAAACATAGCCCCATCTTTTCTGAGCATTTTGTTTTTTTATTCACGTTTCTAGCTCTGTTATTTAATGAAATATGGAGTTTGAAGTTAAAAGCGTTTATTTGAGATTATTCAAGAAAAAGTTTCGGAAGTTAACAAAACAAAAACAAAATTATTGAAAAAATAATGTGGAAAAAAGAAGAAAGAAGAAGAAGAAGAGGTAAGTAAATCTAAGTATAGGCCATGGAAAACAAAGGCGCGATATTGTCATGGAAACAGAGACTACTGTCTTTATCTGTCAGTGATTTTTGAATTTATTCTGTAATTTCTCTGCATTTGGTGTTATCATTGCAAAATATGGAGCGTCAAACAAGAAATTTAACTCGAGATGAATGTGTGATGGCGACTACATTGATCCAGGAAGGAATGGGCTACCGAGCTGTAGGTAGAAGATTGGGTGTTTCTCATTCGACAATATTGCGCATATTTCGCCGTTTTGAAGAAACCAATGACCACAACAGGCGCCGTGGACAAGGAAGAACTCGGGGAACAGCGGCTATCCATGACCGATTTTTGCAACTGAATGCGTTGAGGCAACGTTTTGTGACCTCAAGACAACTAAGGGTACAATTAAAAACTGCTCACAATATCAACGTTAGTGTATCAACTGTAAGGAGACGTCTGGCAGAAAGAAATTTAAGGTTCAGAATTCCAGCAAGAGGACCAAGGTTAAATGCAGACCATATACGAGCAAGACTTCAATTTGCCAGGGAACATGTAAACTGGAATGCTGAAGATTGGGAGCGAGTTCTGTTTACAGATGAGACAAGGTTTTGTCTTTACAGCAACGACCGACGAGTAAGGGTTATTCGACGACCAAATGAACGTTACTCGCAGTGTAATATTCGCCAAACCGAGTTATTCAATGGAGGGTCTGTGATGTTTTGGGGCGGAATCTCTTTCACTGCTCGTACTGACATCGTGTCTTTGCGTGGAGGACCTTTAAATAGTGCAAGGTACATCACGGAAATTTTGTCAGAGCATGTGGTCCCTTTCGCTGGGTATATTGGGGATAACTTTTTACTAATGCAAGATAACGCCAGACCACACACTGCGAGAATAGTGCGAGATTATTTGAATGAGGTGGATATTGAGACTCTGGACTGGCCTTCACGCAGTCCAGATCTCAATCCTATAGAACATTTATGGGATCAAATTGGTAGGCAGCTTAGAGATCATCAACCCCTACCTGTGTCTTTGAATGATGTAGAAAACTTTGTTCGAGAAATTTGGATTAATATCGATCAAGAACAAATAAGACGTCTGGTTCAAAGTATGGGTCGTCGATGTCAAGCGGTAATAGAGAGTAGGGGAAGAAACACCCGATAATGAATGTTTTTTTTTTCCACATTATTTTTTCAATAATTTTATTTTTGTTTTGTTAACTTCCGAAACTTTTTCTTGAATAATCTCAAATAAACGCTTTTAACTTCAAACTCCATATTTCATTAAATAACAGAGCTAGAAACGTGAATAAAAAAACAAAATGCTCAGAAAAGATGGGGCTATGTTTTGATTTAGATAGACATCTATTGGTGCAGATGGAAAGTCCCACAGGATGTGACAAAAATTAGGCATCAAACTGGTTTCTTTTAAAACACCCTGTATATGCCTAAAACTTCGATTCAAATGAAAAGTTGTTTTACAGAGTCATTCCTGAAGATTTAAGCTACAATTAAAAAAAAATATATGTCCAAATCGATTCAGCAGTTTCCGAGAAAATTAAATTTGAAATTGTGCCAAATTTTAGTGGTGCGTTAATTTTGATGCGAAGTGTATTATTCCTACATTAATAGTCTCTGAAAATTTGAACAGCCTAACGTTAGCCCTGTAGATGATATGAAAGGGGGTTGTTTAAATTTCAACACCCTGTATTTTGGAAACGACGTACTTTCAACCATCGGTGTCCTATCTCAAACTACTTCTCTATGGTTCCAATCTTATAGCCAGGAATATTTAGGTGCTCAGACATGACTGAGCCATTAAACATCGAAACCACTTATATTCTTATCAGCTAACTAGCCACATTCACCCCTCAGAATGCCAGACAAAAAAAAAAGTGACTCCACTAAACAGTCCCTATCTCAGGGTCTATAATATACAGGGTGTCCCAGCCGAGAGTGACCCATTTTAAATGCTTATTTACTTTTAAACCAGGTGAGCTAGCTACCTGCGGTTTGTGCCATTCGATTTCTCTTGGTCTAAAGTTTTTTCTAGTGGGTTTCAAATTTTTTTAAAACTTATAGGTATAGGGCGAGTAAAAAAAAAATCCGTTTTTCAACACCGAAATTCTCCACTATTTTCAATGGAACGCCCTGTATATCGCAACGTCAAAAAATAGATTCATGTTTAAGGTATCCATGTACCAATAGACATCGTCCCTAAAACTTGAAGTTTTAGTGGTAAAAAATCAAATTCGAAATCTTGGTATTTTTGCAAACACCTATTTTCAAAGCTTCAACCTTATGTTTGCCTAATAAAAAAGTTTATAACAACTGCATAAAACTATACGTACAAAAAGCTGTAGGTACCTATATGTATATGTTAGCCATTCTGTTCCAGGCATTTGTGGATCAATAAATGGTTGAATGAATTGTGTAACATTTCCTGGAGAATCGCTTCAATGACATTACAAATGTTCCACTTAAGATCTTTCAGGCTATTTTAGCAAAGTATTTCCGCATCTTTCCTTGACATAACGCCAGAGAAAAGAGTCTAGAACTATCAAGTCAAGAGAGTAAGGTGTCCATTCTATAGGCCAGCGGCGAGCTCTCCTTATCCGTCTTTCCCCAAATGTCATATCTAGTGATTCCCTTGCTATTAATGAATAATGAGGTGGGGGCGTCATCCTGCTGAAAATAGATATCATTCAAGATAACCTCCTGTCTCAACTATAGGAAAAAGAACATATCAGTGTATACAGTTTCAGTTATTGTTGATTTATCAATGAAAATGGTCTGTATTTTTTCTCAATAGAGATTGCACACCAAACTGTTACTGTTGGGGTATTTAATGAGTTCCAGAGAAAATACTTTGGATCTCGTTAAATCTTGGAAAATGTATCTCCACTTAATTGATATCTAGACAGTTACAATAGCTATTTACCTAACAAGTGCGGAAAATGAATTTTTCCGCCGTTCACCGAACGACGCGTAGCGGAGTTCGGTGAAGCAGCCCAGTGCGGAAAAATATTTTCCGCAAGTGTTAGGTACAATATTTTTCCTACAGGCGTAAAAATGTGAAATTTTTCTTTTTTTTTTTGACAGATCAGTGCGGTAAAATTTTTTCCGCATTGACAGCCGTGCGGAAAAACTTTTTCCGCACTGATATGCGTGGGGTAAAAGTTTTACCGCACCGTGCGGGAAATCTCATTTTCCGCACGCATATCAGTGCGGAAATTCGATTTTTCCGCACGGCTGTAGGAAAAATTGTTTGCCATAGTGATATCAAGTTCCTACAACATGAAGTTGCATGCGTTTGCAAAAATACCAAGATTTCGATTTTGATTTTTTTTTCGGCTAAAACTTCAGGTTTTAGGGACGATGTCTACTGGTACATGGAAACCTTAAGCATTAATCTTTTTTTTGACGTTGTGATATACAGGGTGTTCCATTAGAAATAGTGAAGAATTTCGATGTTGAAAAACGTATTTTTTTTTACTCGTCCTGTATAAGTTTCAAAAAAATTTGAAACCTACTGGAAAAAACTTAAGACCAAGAGAAATCGAATGGCACAAACCGCAGGTAGCTAGCTCACCTGGTTTAAAAGTTATAAGCATTTAAAATGGGTCACTCTCGGCTGGGACACCCTGTATTATAAGGACATTGAAACTGACTGTGCGATTATTAACACAACACAAACCCTTTCAAAATAGCTATATCCATCAGAATTTCTCTGAACAATACCTCAACCAGTTTGGTAAGCCAAAAATTTCTTTTTCCTACGAGCGTGCGCAAAGTAGTACTTTTCCGCACGCATTTCCGGGCTCAAAGTTACACTTTTCCGCACTCAGTGCGGATACAGGCCTTATCCGCACTGAGTGCCGAAAAGTAATTATAATTGTCAAGCAACAATAAGTGCACCTGTCGACTTTGACACATGATGACAAATTTTTCCTCTATTTCTATATCAGCCAACATCTATACAAACACCAATTATAAATTAACTTTGACCCATCAGATTTGTTCTCTATTTATATGCAAAAATCTATAAACTTTCTCATCAAATTTAAACGCTTTAAGATGAACAGCTCTGACGAGGATTTTCTGTTATTTGTTTCTGTTATGTAATTTTTTGATAAATGCATAGGTTCCTTTCAAGTTAATTAAAAATAATTAAACAAATTATCGTTTTTTTTTTTTTTTAATTTTTGTTATTACCTACCTGATATGAAGCTCGTAGGAAAAATGTTGTTCCTAACACGTGCGCAAAGTGTCTTTTCCGCACGCAAACACGTATCCGAACTCCGCTTCGCGTCGTTCGTATAACTGTGTTTGCGTGCGGAAAAGTAACACTTTGCGCACTTGTTAGGAAAATAACTATAAAAGGTCTTTATCAAATGGTTTAAATAAGTAACCAAACCAACCGACGTCTAATTGATTGTCATATGCAGGTTTCAAGTGAACTTAAGAGGGTGGAGTTGTGTGAACAAAAAAATAACCAACAAATTAATCAACTAGTTTACATTTATTTCACAAGCTCTCTTGTTACATTTATTAGTTATTACAAATAGTATTTTTTTTCTTAAAAAATATAATACCTATTCGTTTAATTTTTTTAAATATTCAACACCGAAGGCATAGGAGGTTGAATATTTTTAAAAATAATTATGTAATTATTTACACTTCCATAAAAATATACAGAGTTTTCTTACTTAGGTAGGTACTTATATTCAACATACACTGGCAAATTGGGGTCACCTCAGCTCAAATAATTTGGCATCAATGGATAAGTAGACGCTTCTTTTCTAAGATTCGGTATCTGTCAGTGGGCTTATTAGACATAAAGAGATCCATATGCCCATTTGTCTTTTCAGCCTATTTTATACGATCTAAAACCTATTGATTCCAAGGTAGTTTCAACAAGCATTGATGCGAGTATTACTGCATTTAGAATTATATCAAGGAAATCAGGAACAGTGTAAGACTACAAGATTACTTATTAGAAAAAGGGTTTCAGGCTTCTGGATTATGTAGGAGGGCGACTATTGGTCCACCATTTTTACACTAATTACTGATACTGGGAACTAAAGAATCAAACAAAACGTTGGTTTTTCCAAAAAAAACATCATACCTTCCATTGTGACCTGACTTTTTTGTTCGCCAGTGTATTTTTCTCTTACCCCTCACAATTAATAAATATTTTGCTATTACAAATATGAGATCGCCTATCAAATACATACATCAATAATCTCTGAGCGAAAACTACAAACTAATTTTAATTCACTACATTGCCTCGTTATTAGGATTTTTACAATTTTTTTTTTCACTTGATAAATGTATAGTTAATTAATATACTATAGGCTCGGCATTTAGCAATGTATAAAAGACATTTTTTTCCTCAATCTACACATTATTTACACATATAACCAATGTTTAGCTTTGAATCTTCTCACTAGCTTACTTCTTCGAATATCTTCATGCTCTTCTATGGGCGATATTGAGATAGCCACTCTCTGAAACAATCAATATAATTTATTGAATTAGGCAAATATAAAACACTTACTTCCTTAAATGTTCCAGGAGTTTTACATAATTGTATGATGGCCCATAATGGGATCATCATTATTGAAGATAATGCCAGGGACCATCCAACCCATTCGGCCCAGCCTGGATATAAATAGTCGTTGTAGACTAGTGGTTGATGGTAGAGGAGACCAAACATCACCACGCACTAAAAATAATCAACCAAATGCAGTTTTAAATTATCCAAAAATCAAAAAGGTATAGTTACCACAATAAAGCTGGGACTTATAAATTTCCAACAAATTCTCCAGTAAATGCCTGGTCTGATGCCCAACATTGCCTCAACATCTTGAGTCAATCTGTCCAGTCCTGAAATATTTTTAATTAATTTAATTTTTGTTTAAAAATATTGTCAATTATTCAGACCGTAAAACCATGATACAGCAATTGCTTCAAACAGAGCAGAACAAAGCAAAGAAATTCCTGCTGAGTAGGTATCGAATAAGTGGAACATGTATATTCCTCCCTAAAAAAAAATACTTATAAATACCTATTAGTAGTTCCCCAATAAATTTTACCGGTGTAACGTTGATTAAAGCCACAGAAAACGACATCATTATCACCACAAAAGTAAAAATTTCTCTGGCATATTTTTTCTCTCTAAAGAACACTGAAAATTCGTCCATTAGGCCTGTAATTACACATTCTAAACCACCCATCTGGAATGAAATAATATATTAAATTGAACTTGAAAATCAACATAAGACGTATTCTTACCGCAGAATCAACCCCCAACATAATCAACATGAAAAAGAACAAAACAGACCATATATGTGATCCTGGAAGGGTAGCCACTGCTTCTGGATATACTTGAAATACTAAACCAGGACCTTCAATAAAATAGAAAGAATGAAATATACTTAAATCAAACGAATTGTATTTGGATGATTTTGATTAGTTTACCAGAAATATCGAGAAAAATATATTCATACCTTCGGTAGCAACATATTTAATATCTACTCCTTGCTTGTGCGACATGTACCCCAAATACGTGAATATGACAAATCCAGAAAAAAAGCTTGTGAAACAGTTGACTATAGTAGTAATAATGCAATCCCTAAAAAAAATTTCAAGTTCCAAAAATCTACAAATAAATTATGAACTAACCTGTAGCAATTATTATGAAAAGTATTATAACTAGCATAAGACAAGTGTACACCAAAACCAGCACCGACAGAATAAAATATTTGCACCGCCGCATCTACCCACACCTGCGTCTCTTTCAACTTTGAAAGCTCTGGTTTAAGGTAATATGAAATACCACCAAGAGCTCCTGGTAACATTAGGCCTCTTACCAATAAAATACTCAGTACAACGTAAGGCATTGTCGCTGTTACCCATACAACTTTACCTAAAATCGACAAATTAGGCTCTGATTTTGCTTGTTTAATTTCAATCACCTGAAGATTTTACACCTTTAAACAAGGACATATACAATAAAGAATAAATCATTATCAAACAAACTACCAGTTGCCATTTGGGGTAGCCCATTTCGTGCAGACCATCGCTCCATTGCATTTCCAAGACAGCTCGGCTAAAAAAAATAATTACATAAACAAATATATAATTGATAAAAATCGAGAAAGTTTTTACTGGAAAAACTCGAAAGCTGGAGTATGTTTACTATGACCAGAAGTTTCGTTTATGGCCAATGTCAAAGATTTTTCAGTTTCGTTTGAAGCCTTCATTTCCCAACATTCTTCAGTGTTCCAAGAGTTGTTACAATGCATCCAGGGTAGCTCCTTTGATATGCTCGAACCTAGATAATAGAGCGCCCAAGCTAGAACAAAATGGATTTTATATAAGTTCTAAATTTTCCATAGATAATATGCAATTGGAATTAAAAGATTATTGGGTTTTACGAATGGTGAAATGAATAACAGTAGAATTAGTCCAAGAGATTATTATGCATTATTTGTGTCCCAGATACCTACTTTTGGTAACGATGGTACATGGTTCTAAAATACCAACAAAATATTTACTCAAATTGTTTCCGTCCGGAAAAGCTAAAACTGGGAGTCACAATCTAATATTTCTAGTAGTTTGCACACTAAAATGGTATTTAATAATTGTCAACCCATAAAAATACACGAGATCACAGATTATACAAATTAATTAAATTTCTCGTGGAGGTCACGCCAGTACTACAAAAATGCGGCTGACTTTGCTTATGGTAGCAATATTTTAAGTATAAATTCGCGCATCGGATCAAGATTCAAGGGGAAGGCCAGCATGGTCTTGACAGTTTTATGCCCGCCACGGGTACGAGCCTATAGGGACCTATCTTCATAGCTGAGTACCTACTACTTGGTTTACACTAGACTGTAAACTACAGGGTGAAGGTCTTGTATAAAGCGGCCGTGCCTCAGCCAGCGCCCCAAGATTAAACCTACGAGGACCCTAGAGGGTTCGTTCTCATAGTGCATCTTGGTTACATAGAAACCCTCTTATATTTAACATAGTAGGTACCCATTTAGTCCGATGCTCAAGTGCTGAACTAACAAAATGGTTCATCAGGAAAGAACATCGGCAGTGCTGAAATTATGGTAGATATCTTGATCTAATATAATCATCATTTGTAGACAAATAAATAATATTCGTGGTGTTCTGCTTTCTACCCCCTCAACCTCCCTTCTAGCTCACCCCGAATTGAAGCAGCCAAGCGGAGTATAGCAGATTTTGTTGGCACCGCTGACCAGACCCCAACCAAAGCGTGACAATATTTTGAATCCGGATATTTGGGCTGCAACCACAATGCTTAGCAAGTTTCAAAACTTCATAATAAAATCGAGGAGAAAGTGCAGGAGAAAGAAACAAAACCGTTGACAGTAAAATAGATACAGTTCTTCATCGAAATCTATTCAACATTGGAGGATGGGGTGAAGGATGTTGAATGCGGTACGTATCTAATGATGATGCACTATCTGACAAAAATGAACTTGATAGTTCGAGTCATAGTCAGAGCTGCTGGAGAACATGCGATTAATGATACCACATACAGACTATTGCTGAAACCTCTATAAAAGTGACCGCGATAAAAGGATGCCTACAGGGTGCAGTACTTTCACCACTCTTGTGGAATCTAGTGGTGGATGAACTTCTGAGGAATCTCAACGATCAAGGCTACTTCACCCTAGGCTACGCGGATGACATAGCCATTGTCATTAGAGAAGGATTTAACAGGACGGTATCAAACCTCATGCAAGACGCCTTAGGAATCATTGAGAAATGATGTACGAGGGAGCTAACTTCGTGTCAACCCCTCCAAAACACAACTCATTCCTTTCTCGAGAAAAAGAAATCTGGAGGAGTAAATACCTTCCAGTCTATTCCAAAAAAATTTGGAGTTTGGTAGGGAAGCCAAATTTCTGGGCGTCATCCTAGATATGACGCTGACATGGAACCAACACATTCAAAAGTTAACCATCAAACCCAAGATATCGTTGATGTCATTGAAAAGAGCGATTGGAAAAACATGGGAACTAAAACCATCAGTTGTACACTGGATATAGGTACACTACGGTGGTAAGACCAATGATAACATATGGTGCACTTGAGCACTTGTATGGTGGGCTAAATTGAACAACTAAAGCAAAACAAATCTGGAGCTAAAACAAGAAATTGTCTGGTTCACTGACGGCTCTAGGAACTAGAACCGGCGCTGGAATATATAGACAAACTCTCAGATGCGACATCAGTCAACCCCTGGGAGAATACATTACTGTATTCCAAGCAGAAATCTATGCCATCGACTAATCGACTCCTCTCTGAGAAGAAACCTGCGGAGGGGATACACAGGTAAAAACATCCTTATCTGCTCAGACAGTCAAGCGTCGATTAAAGCTCTCAACAGTTGCGAAATAAAATCCAAACTTGTCTGGGAATGCTTGGAAAACCTCAAAAACCTAAGTATGTCCAACAAGGTAACCCTTAAATGGGTGCCAGGGCATAAAGGAATTGAACGAAATGGAAAAGCAGATGCTCTGGGACGAGAATGATCAGCAACCAGTTATACTGGTCTGGAACCGGCAATTGGCACCACAAAATCTTCGGTAAGAACAAAAATAAACCAAAGGGTGTATTGACAACACCAAACTCACTGGCAAACTCTTCCGAAGTTCAGACACAGTTAGTTTATTGTACAACAATCATAATCTAAACTTACTGACGAGATCCTACAACTAAACAGGAATCAAATCTAGCTAGCTAATAACTGGACTCATAACCGGACACTGTAGCCTGAGAAAATACCTTCACACAATAGAAATCCTCCAAGTTCAACCCATATGCAGATTTTGTGACAAGGAGAATGAAACCGCCACCCACATAGTCTTCGAATGTGAGGCTTTACGTTGGGGGAGATAAGTACAGACAAATAGGGCCAGAATACCCTATCTCTAAACTCACCAAAAGCCAAGTGTTGGGGCCACCTAATCCGGCCTGTTCACTCTGTATCCCAACCAACCAATCACCAACCAAGAAAGTTGAAGATACATACAAAAAATCATAAATATAAGTTGAAATGTCAACTACTTAAGTAAATACCACTCTGTACATCAATTTTACTAAGAGTGTGTCGACGAGTCAGCATTTATTTGGTATAAATACCGCGCCGAAATCCATTACCGGCAGACTAAGGCTTGTGCAAAGTACCTCAAATGGGAAAAGCCCCTCTAGCCAAGTCTCCTCCCAGTGCAAACTACCTTCAATGGGGTACGCCCTTCTGGGAGTATTAAACGCATCAGACAAGGTCCAGTGCAAACTACCTTCAATGGGAAACGCCCTTCTGGACCTGTCTCAAACCAGACCCTTCGGGGACTATTGAACTCAGCAGACTAGGTCCAGTGCAAACCACTTTTATTGGGAAACGCCCTTCTGGACCTGTCTCAAACCCAGCTTCAGTCTTCAGTCATGCCAAGAGTACAGAGTGTACATAATACAGAGTGGCCTATAAGTAGTACGTCCCTCCGTAGAAGAGACGTCATGATACTATTTCTAGGGTAATATTATTATTATTCAATACATATCCTATTGTACCTATACCAAGCGAGCTTCTCTCTACCTGAACCCCACCTACGCCCCCAGGTCACGCTTCTGTTGTGATGTCCCAGGACAAAACGTATAGGGGTTGTGACAATAGGAATATAACAATTCATGATAAAGTAGAAGAAGCTAGCAAAATCAATTCGAAGAAAGAAAAAGCGGCTAGTGTTTCTCATACTATCTATCTAATAATGTTATAATATAATGTGCCTGGACTATCACAATAAGAAGAAGCTGTTGGAAAAGATTCCAATTATTTGGTTCAAAATCTCAAAGAAAATAATATTAAAGATGCAAATTAGACTATACCATTTCCAGAATTATTTCACACTAGTGAAATTAAATTTCAAATAATTGAAAAATAAATTCACATCAGTGAAATCTAATTTCGCTCAAATGAAATTTGATTTCAAAGTAACGAAAACTAATTTCTCACAATCGAAATTTAATTTCACATTTTCGAAAATGAATTTCAAACTGATCCTAATTTAATACTCCTTTTTCAAACATTTATTATTTTAATTTGAAAAAACATCAACAACGTTATTTATTTCACCCTAATGAAATAAACCCACTGAATTTAAATAACATAAAATACAATCATGAAAGAACAATAATAATGAGGAATTTGCACATATCTTTTTTTCTTCTTTTATTGAATACTCCATATCGTAAAAATTTACTTGCCACATAAATTCTAAATTTTCAACTAATAGTTTATTTTCTGTAAAAAATATAGAAATTCAAAATAACTCTCTTCGCGCCAAAACGCAGTCGTAGATCAATGACGTCACAAAACAATATTTGTCAAAACGAGTCTCTATGATCCCTGTCTTACCCATTGTGTTTTATGTCCGTCTCGCGTTGAAATAACCACACTTTTGTTGATTTATCGTTCCATGACGTCATAACTAATTTGAAAGCGTTTTCGCGCACATTGTTACATTCAATATTTGAATAATTAATTATTTATTAGTGGTTCAGTATAAAGAGGACTTAAATATAGAAATATACTTTTTAAGTATTTTGCTTCACTTTGAATACATTTCGCATCAAAATAAAATTTAATGCAACTTCCTCATTATACAATGAAGGAGAACAAAAAGTCTATCTCACAATTCCAAAAAATAATAAATTATTCATTGACTACCATGGTTTAATAATAATAATAATTATAAATTATTTTAATAAATAAACTTCAGTTAAGTCTGTTCACTCTTGAGACAGCTGCATAACACCTTTCCACGTGATTCGCGAAACTGAAGTTTAACTTATTTAAATAATTTATATTTATTATTGTGTTTCATGATTGTATTTCATGATATCCAAACTCAGTGGGTTTATTTCATTAGGGTGAAATAAATAACGTTGTTGATGTTTTTTAAAATTAAAATAATAAATGTTTGAAAAATGAGTATTAAATTAGGGTCAGTTTGAAATTCATTTTCGAAAATGAGAAATTAAATTTCGTTTGTTGAGAAATTTGTTTTCGTTACTTTGAAATCAATTTTCATTTGAGCGAAATTAGATTTCACTGATGTGAATTTAGTTTTCATTAATTTGAAATCAAATTTCACTAGTGTGAAATAATGCTGGAAATGGTATAGTCTGGATGCAGAGTAAGAAAATTGAGATAATTTAAATTTCTGTAAAAGAACTTGGGTAAAGAAAAGAAACCTACCTACCTAATTTAGGAGTAGGTGAAATTGAGAAAAAGGCAGAAACTGGAAGAGAAAA